TATTTAGCCTTCATGTATTTGTCCAATACAGTTTACATTTGAATCGATAATTATTCTCTAACATCAAACACGAACGATATTTGTTTCTGCTTTTATTGTTACTGTGTTCACAAACAATCTTTACCCCAAACACGAATTTATTTTTTGCAAAAAAAATCAATTGGGTTCTACACTCTAGCCATTGTTTGAGTGCCTGGGGTGGTGATGTGGGGGGGGGGGGGAGGGGGGATGGATCTGAAGGAAGGCTGACGGGGTGGGGGTGGAGCCACAGGAAGCCTGACTTGGGAGAGGGGGGTGTAAGCCCTGTGATTGACACTAAAGTCTAGGATAAATGCAAGCAACGCGTGCGCACGCATACACCAAAACTGTTACTTTGTCGCCACCGATGTGTTGGCGTCCCGCACGCATACACCAAAACTGTTACTTTGTCGCCACCGATGTGTCCAGGAAGTTATACATCTTCAAACGTTTCACATCACGTGACCGCCTGCTTGGGATAGATGTGGCTATTACACCGTCCATGAGATCATAAAACATCATGCCCATTTACCACTTGAGAACTAAACTGAACATTTTTATACATTAAAATTGGCCCAAATATTCCAAATATCCTGCCCTTGTTTCATTAATTACATTTTAAAAATGTCCATTCCAAAACACTTCAAACCCTGAAATCTTTAAGAAAATAAAAATGATTAGAAAGAGTTTTGAAGCGTAATTAAACTTTTTTTTTTACTATATACTTAGCCAGACTGACATACAATTTAAAATGATGACCTTCGACCTGAAAGAACTAGCAGAACTGGACGGACCTGTTTCAAGTAGGTTCCCACCACGAGTACCTAGTTAGTGTCCACGCTAGTAGTGTCCCCTGAGTTGAACAAATTAGCCAAATTACTCTCCATTTCACAGCGGCGTTGGAAGGGTTAAGGACCCGGATAGACTTTCGTCTATTGCCACATACACAGCCTTTGGAGGTTTCGACACAATTCCGTTAAACGGCCACCTACTATATTGCTGCAGCTATAATCTGGACTTGCTGGGAATTGGTTGAAGAAAGGGAAACGGTGTTAACAGTAGCAGACGACGAATGGTTGGCAACTTTTTGACTGTCAGTTTGTATTGTGTATTTATCGAGATAAGTAATTAGCTAATTGCAAACAGTTTCAATTGGCTAGATGGAGTGACTATGCGTTGCTAACGTTGTAATTAGGAAGTAGCCAAATACCTGACAGAGGTCATTAGCCAGTAATTATCCCATCTAATAATTATCCCAAGTCCTTTTTTTTTGCCTGGGATGAAGCAAGCTAGGGGTGAGCTAAAAAAATGAATTTCGATCAAATTTGAGTTGAACGGATTAGCTGTATGGCCATTGGATGATCGCCATGTTGCCGGCCCCAGAAAATCCTGGCCATATGACACGTGTCACGCTCTTAACATTAGGGGCATAATTTGTGGCCCTTGGCCCAGGAGGGGTGGGGGTGGGTGGGGGGGGGGGTGGCACAATTTGTGGCCCTTGGGTGGGCGGGGGGAGGCACAATTTGTGGTCCTAGGGCCGTAGGGGGGGGGGGGGGAGACACAATTCGTTCACATTGAGTCGGGGAGGGGGGGGAGGGGGGGATGCGGCACCATTTGTGGCCTTTGGGTGGGGGGGGCATAGTTCGTGGCCACTGACGGCGGGGGGGGGGGGGAGTTACCCTAAACCTAAACTTACAATTCATGGCCATTGGGTTGGGTGGGGGTACAAATCGTGGCCGTTAGTCGGGTAGGGGCACAATTTGTGGCCGTTGTGAGGAGGTGAGAAGGTTTAGAAGATTGGTTTCAGGTTTTTAATGTGAGGTAGATGTATGTCAGCGACAATTCACATTGGAAAGCTGTTTATCGGACAGATAATAAATGTCGTCATCATATTTTCTACTGTTAAGTTGACTGTCCGTCCCTCTATTATAGAGTTGACGGGCAGTTCCTCTATTCTAGTTTGAAAACAACACAATCTTTTTACCCTCCTCATTAATTGTGTTTGCTGTCGACAACCGCCACAGGCAGTGCTAATTATGCTAATTATGCGCGGATATTTTTGTCAACTTGCCAATTTCTTTTAAACACCATTGTTGAGACCATCCTTGCTTCTCTGACTTTTTAATGCACCCCCCCCCCCTAAATGGTGTCACCCGGTGCGGTTCTCCCCCCCCCTCGCTACGCCTCTGCACACACCAATCATCACAACTATCAGTCAACATACGTAAAACTCTAATGGTAAAATGTTCGATTTCTTCTCTAACTTCGCCAACGGACATTCATTGACTAGAACATTTGTTGACTTGACACTGATTGACCAGAACTTTTATTGACATGAGTCGCGCCTAACTGCGGCAACAAACAACGGACCGGACGTAATAGAAGCTATCGTTTGAAACACATAACAATCTCTGATCGTCAGATACTAGCGTATGACAGAAGGAACTCACAGGTCGTAAAGTTCAAAGCAAATATCGACCTGTGTTGAGTATTCACTTTGACATTTAATAAACAAAGCGATTGATGAAAAATTTACAGCTGACGTCAAAATCACATGAAATGGAAGAATTTTGTGCAATCCTGTGTTTTCAGTCCGTGTAAAGAGACGTCATTACGATGTATGAATGGAATAATTTGTCAAGCGAAAATGTGGTCTTGTGCACTGAGCTGCTTTACTGAGCAAACAAAATCTATCAACAAATCAGAAGTCGTGATCAATGGTGGCACATGACTGCGTGGGGGGTCGGGGTCTAAGTGAAATAAGTCATAGGGATGGGCGACACTGTTCTATCTTGATGTCGTTACATGTACCTGTACACCTTTAGATGTACCTGGTATGTTTAGATGTACCTGGTATGTTTAGATGTACCTGGTATGTTTAGATGTACCTGGTATCTTTAGATGTACCTGTTATACTTTGATGCACCTGGTATCTTTTGATGTACCTGGTATCTTTAGATGTACCTGGTATATCTTTAGATGCACCTGGTATATTTAGATGTACCTGGTATCTTTAGATGCACCTGGTATCTTTAGATGTACCTGGTACCTTTATATGTACCTGGTATCTGTAGATGCACCAGAGCATCAGGTGTCAACATCCCATGATATGTCAGCCTAGAGGCTCCAGGTTCCAGTACTGTTCAGACCACCGCCCCCAGCCCTGCCCGTGTTGCCACCCTACACGCCACGTCACAGTGTCACGTGAACACAATGCTCGCGGCCAGAGATCACGTGATGAGGAGTACACGCGACAAGTGTGAGCCAACAAAGGTCAAGGCCAACTCCAAATTAATTTAATTTCTTTTTGCCTGGCACAGCTGAATAGCCCCTGATTTTTTTCCCAGCGTGAGTACCCTGGTGATGAATCGGGCAGATGAGGCAGCTGCTAGTGGCATTGTGTGCCCTGGACAATGCCCTGTCATTTCTGCCCACCCTTGCATCCGGGCATTTCTATCCACCCCTAAACCTCACACAATTTTACACCATCTAGTTCAAAATATACGGACTTTTAGAGAAGTTATCTTTCCAAAAAACTGCCCATCTATATATATAAAAAGCAATGTATGTCTGTGTGTGTGTCTGTGTGTCCTTTATGCATTACTACACCTCTCATCACATCGCCGTGAAACTTTGGGAAGTTGTTGAAAATATTCCTGGGGAGGTTTCTGCGAAAAAAAAAATTTCAAATTCGCAGGGGTGGCGCCCCGACGGGGCGCGATTTGTTTTTTTTTATATACGGTATATAAAAATAAAAGTCGATTTTGGTTTGGCATCGTTCATCCGTTAGCCATGAGACTTTGGGGAGTTCATTATACCACTCTAGGAAAGGGTTCTGTAAAAAAATAACTTTTAATTTCGCAAGGGCGGCGCCACGGGAGGGTGCGATTTTTCTCTATATACGGTATATAAAAATAAAAGTCGATTTTGGTGTGACACCGTTATCCGATAGCCATAAGACTTCGGGGGAGTTGATTAGAACAATACAGGGAAGGGTTCTGTAAAAAAAAAATCCTTTTTTCATTTCGCAAGGGCGGCGCCACGGGAGGCTGCGATTTTTCTCTTTATACGGTTTATAAAAATAAAAGTCTATTTCGGTTTCACATCGTTCATCCGTGTACCATGAAACTTTGTTGAGATGATTATATCACTCAATGGTAGGGTTCTGCAAAAAAAAAATATTGTTTAATATTGCAAGGGCGGCGCCCGCGGGGGGGGGGGGGGCGATTTTTTTTCTCTATAATAAAAAAAAAACTCGGATGCGGTTCATCCGAGTGACATGAAACTTTAGGGAGTAGATGAGAACACTCTCGAGAATATTCCTGCGAAAAAGAAAACTAAAGTTTCTTATGGGCAGCGCCATACAGGGTACAACTTTCGTCAATACACGGTTTGGCGCCCAGAGTTTTAGAGCGACGATGTTGGCACTTGGCACCGTTAATCGAGCGTCCTGCATAGCGAGTAAGGGGTACTACTATATTCAGCGGTAAAACTAAAACAGGCTTCTTAAAATAACTTTGTAACGAGAGGAAATCCTTCTGTACAGTTTCGTCACCTTGCCAAAGATGAAAAAATAACTTTTTGAATATGAGGAGCCTACTGTAGAGTTTCGTCACTTTGCGAATGATGCAATAAGCATCTATTATTAGACAATCCAGTCAGAAATTGAGATCAAGCATCTAATAATAGACCATTAGTAACGCTAGCATATAGCATCAGTCCCACTGATATTTAAAACACGTCAAATAATTTTTTTACATGTTAGTAGTATATTAGGTCACTTTTGGAGCGTATTTGGGTGGCGCAAAGGTTATATAGCAAAATACTCGGATCGGGATGGACAATGAGATATAGTAAAATACTCCCTAGGGTGGCGCAAAGACATATAGCAAAATACTCGCAGGGTGAAGGGTGAGGCGCAGGGTGAACAGGGTGGCGCAGGGTGGCGCAGCAGCCTGGGACAATGAGATATAGTAAAATACTCGCAGGGTGAAGGGTGAGTGGCGCAGGGTGAACAGGGTGGCGCAGGGTGGCGCACCCTGGATGGACAATGAGATATAGTAAAATACTCGCATGGTGAAGGGTGAGTAGCGCAGGGTGAAGGGTGAGTGGCGCAGGGTGGCGCAGCAGCCTGGGACAATGAGATATAGTAAAATACTCGCAGGGTGAAGGGTGAGGCGCAGGGTGAACAGGGTGGCGCAGGGTGGCGCACCCTGGATGGACAATGAGATATAGTAAAATACTCGCAGGGTGAAGGGTGAGGCGCAGGGTGAACAGGGTGGCGCAGGGTGGCGCACCCTGGATGGACAATGAGATATAGTAAAATACTCACCCACCCTAGGTAAACTTTCTTAAAAATTAACGAAGTTCAAGTCAAAAAGAAGTTTGATGAAAACTGTAATACTAAAGTGAACATGGGAAGGTAATCTGCTGCAAGACTAAGATATATATTCGTCTTCCTTCTAGGTTCATTGTCTTTTTTGGTTGAGGTTAAACATCGCCCTGTTTTCAAATATCGCGATGTACGTCACGTTCTCTCCCGTGATTTTGATTCCAGTCATACCTCTTATACAGGATACCGAGTTACATAACTTTCAGGGACAAGTAACAAAACAATAACACATTAAAAAATCACAAAAGGCCATATATAATAAATTTTTATTGAATAAAAACAACCCCATCGGTCTACAGTCTAGGGGAGATGTCACATTGTGTCTACTTGTCTTTTAATATAAAAGTAAGAAAGTGAGTTTCTGTGTTGGGTGTAAGGAGATGTGTGTGAGAAGTCATCCTATGGGATATTCGTGTCGGTCGCTGATGTGTCATCTGGTAATGTTTTGATGTTGTGTGGTATTTTATAGTGGTTCGTTAAATTATATTTTCTTGTAAATTCTTGCAAACATTCTCTACATGTATGTCTTCGTCGTCTGTGTGCCGTATCGTGATGTCGTTTCAAACCATGTTTGCAGGTGAATGCATGCTCACATATGTCACATGTATAACGTATCATGGGTAGGTCGTCTACAGGAAAAATAGTGGTGTGTGAATTAACGTTACTGTCGTTGATAGTCTTTACGCGTTTGTTGTTTGCTATGTCGTCATACATCGTATGTCGCTTTAATGGAATAGTGTTGGTCATGGTACGAGTTGTTTGGATCGCTGCTAGGGGTTGCATGGTTTGTCTGTCGGTCACGTATAGTGGTTGTGGAGTTTGTCTATCGGTTGCTGATGGGGTGTCGGTCGGTGATGTTTGGTTGGTGTGTGTTGTTTTACAATGTCTTGTTAAATTGTCAAGTCGTGTAAATAGATTCCCGCATGTTGTACAGAGATGTCCTTGTCGGCGGTGAACAGAGTCGTGATGTCTTGTCAAACCGTCTTTGCGGGTGAACACACGGGGCGATTGTTAGTCAATTCATGAACAAAAACACTTTAAATCTTAGAGAGCTTATAGATGGGACCGATCTTAATTTTCCTACAAATTCTGGTGTTAGTATGAGTCGCGTCTGCTTTGAGCGCCTGTTGAGTTTACAGGATGAAATTTTAAAAGCCTTTGATGAATTGGAAAAACGTTAATAAACAAATAAAATATAAGAAGACTTTTGTTCTAATTTAGTGTGTGTGTGTGTGTGTGTGTGTGTGTGTGTGTGTGTGTGTGTGTGTGTGTGTGTAGCATACGCGTACTAGAAAACCAACAAGGTAATGTCCGGTTGCTCAACCTAATTACACCACCAGCTGTCGCACAACAGCTGTTGCATAATGACCTATGTACTTCCCGGAGCTAACAAAGCGTTCGGTAAAATCGATTAACGTGGTAACAGATGTTCCCACACTTAACGCTGGCTTCGCGTTAATTACCATACCTCCCGGTGGGATCGCTTCGCGAACCCACATAAATCAATGACGGGTGTCAAAAAATTTAATTAGGTGGGCTATCAAGTTGATGATGGTCCAGTGGGTGTGACCAAAATTAACTCGGACAGTGTACGGTCCCTCACAAAAAGAAAAACTTTGCTGGTGAATCGATACGTGCCGGGTGCCATTAGCGAGTAACAGGTGTTGTTAATGTATGTTATTCACAAAGTACACGCTAACGCACCCCTACCCTCAAACCCCATCATTACTCCCCCTCTCATCCACCAACACCCCTATCCGTTTACTATTAAACATACATACAAGTAAATAAACAAACCAACAAATTAAACAACAAAGAAAAGAAATAAACAAATTTAAAAAATGTAAAATCAAAGAAATAAAATTAAATTCAAACTAATAATCAAATTAAAATAATTACTAATTATAAAATAAAATAAAATTAAAAATAAACAAAATAAAAATAATTAAAAAGTAAACAAATAATCAAATTACGTAACTCGTTAATAAAAATTACACAATATAAACAAAGTAATCAAATTAAATAACAAGTAAACAAACAAAATAAACAAACAAAATACAAAGTAATTAAAATCAATTAAAATTTAAAATTTAAATTTAAAAATTTAAAAAATTAAAATCCAATTACGTAACTAGTCAATAAAAAATTACACAATATAAACAAAGTAATTAAATTGAATTCAAACTAATTATAAAATAAAATTAAAAATAAACAAAATAAAAATAATTAAAAAGTAAACAAATAATCAAATTACGTAACTCGTTAATAAAAATTACACAATATAAACAAAGTAATTAAATTAAACAACAAGTAAACAAACAAATTAAACAAAATAAAAATACAATCAAAGTAATTAAATTACGTAACTAATTAAAAACTAATTAAAATTTAAAAATTAAATTCAAACTAATTAAAAACTCATTAAAATTACGTAACTAGGTCAATGATTACGTCATATTGTCCCTGATTACGTCACTAGGTCACTGATTACGTCACAAGGTCACCGGTGGTGACCTACTGACCTACTCCCCCACCTGCTCACCCACCCTAGGGTGGGTGAGTATTTTACTATATCTCATTGTCCATCCAGGGTGCGCCACCCTGCGCCACCCTGTTCACCCTGCGCCACTCACCCTTCACCCTGCGCGTATTTTACTATATCTCATTGTCCCAGGCTGCTGCGCCACCCTGCGCCACCCTGTTCACCCTGCGCCTCACCCTTCACCCTGCGAGTATTTTGCTATATGTCTTTGCGCCACCCTAGGGAGTATTTTACTATATCTCATTGTCCATCCCGATCCGAGTATTTTGCTATATAACCTTTGCGCCACCCAAATACGCTCCAAAAGTGACCTAATATACTACTCATGTTAAAGAAAAAAATCCTGTTCATTTGTGTCACTTTAGCGAATGACGAAATCTGCATCATTATTAACATGATGCTATTTGGCCGATGGCGCCTGTTAGTTTTAAGGAGCCAGGGGTCGTACGCCGCGCCTATGCGGTAGTGTAATCGGGGGGTGGGGGCCCGAGAGCGCCACTCTCTCTGACACAGAGGCGGTCACCGAAGTGTGTTCTACCATATTATTTCGGTGAGTGATTAATGTACACTCAAGGTTTTCATGCGGTAGTGTAGGTAAACCCGTGTCCTGATATTTATGATATAAGAACAGGCATTGTTTACATTTAAATAACTCATTTTTAGAAAAGAAGGTCACGCGTCGAAGAACATATAATTATAATTAATCACGCGTTGGTGAAATTCTAATATATTTCGTCAAACTTTCTTCTATCCCCGCGGCAACGCGCGGGGGTCGGGTACGCTAGTATTTATATAAAAAACAACATTGAATTGGCGCCATGATATGAATATCATTGAACTTCCGAGATGGGCGTGATCGCAGGGAGGGAAGGTAAGACACGTGAGAGATATTTGGTGTAAACAAACAAGCGCCCACAAATTTACCGACATAGAAGATAATTCCAGACAAAACTTGCTGAGTTCTGCTCAGGTGTGGTTACAGGAACATCATCCTTGTTTTTGTCTTGATGTTTTATCTGCTACAACCTACACATCACATATGTGGGGGGCACGGAGGGAGGGGGAGAGGCACTAAATGGATACAAGCCACCCTGTTTACGTGCAACAAACCCCTCCCTCTACCCCAACCATTCCTACCACCACCCACACCCCTCCCTTACCATGAGCTCACGTGAAGGACAGTGCCGAGTTAATTACCCCGCCATTTTTGTGTGAGTAAAAATATCGTGCATGAGAACTAATCCGCCCGAGTTTTTCCACCGACTCGGCTATGAAGACCACCATCAATTCGACTTGAGGGTTTTTCAAACAACGAAGGAAAATTGTCTTCGCTTTTTATGTCAGTCTTTTGTTCCTTAATGAGGGTACAAATTGTACCTCAATGGTAATTAGAAAATAATGAATTGTGTTGCACTAATTAGTGGTTAAATGAAACAAGCACCAATCATATGACATCAGAGTCACACGAATCCCGTGAATGTCACGTGAACAGTGACAAGCATCACGTGAATGTCATACGTGAACGGTATGACAAGCAGTGCTCATTGGATACATTATGGGTTGTATGTGGGATATTTAATACACGATCTGTGTCTAGCAGAACTGTTTAATGTGTCGGTAGGCAACTGTCAAAATGTGAAGTAGTGAGGAGAATATTATGTACATTCAGTCCATAACTTGACGGCCTTCGTTGGACGGTAGAGCACACCTGTTCGGATCTCGGGCTTCACGTCTTGCGGCAGACAATACAATTTTTTTCTCTCTCAGAATTTGAGGAGGTGGGGGAGGGGGGGGGGGTGGGTGGGGGGGAGAGGTGGGGGTAGGGGTTTGGATAAGGGTTTGGGGTAAGGGTTTGGGGGGGGGGTTAAAAACATAATACATTTTAAAATTTCTTTTAGAAAACAAACACGACACTTCCGGTATAGTTAATTGACTCAATCCTGGCAGAAACACCAAATTTGTCACAAGAAACAACCTACAATGGACATCAATTCTCAAGGGGAAAACTTGACAGAAAACTTTGAAAACAAAACGGGCTCTAGAGCGTCTTGTATTGATTGTGTCAGACGACACTGAGCTGTTTCTGCCACTGATTTAAAAGCCTGTACATTATTTGCCGCCAAAAACTAAGACCAAACTTAAAAAAAAAATTCTCACGTCTCCTGCGTGGCATGTCAATCGCCACAGTTTGACCTGGCCACATGCGCAGATGTCACACTGCCAGGTTGTTGAATCCAGGTCAAGGTTAGCTCGGTAATTAACTCGCTTTAAAAATGACGTATGCGGTCCGTGACAATGTTTCATTAGGGGTTTCTTGAGTCACTAATTAGCATTTTCTCCGCTCTCTGCGTGCGTTATTTGGACATCACCGCTCTCCGGGCCGCGGGCTACATGAGAACTCAGAGGACTTAAAACAAGAACCAAGGGGAACGTTGATGCGGCTCAAGAAGTCTTTGGCGCGGCCCGCTTTGGAGTCGGTCCCGAAAACTATTGGAGGCGTCCAAATAATCGAATGCGACACATTCATATCGTGCAACCGGAATGTCATTGAGTCGGCCCATGTACACGGTGCATAAGTCCAGATAGACAACATCTGGATTAACACGAGGAATCGGAGGGTGGAGGGTTCCACTCGGACACTGCCACGTCTGTTGTCTGGACACCCGGGCTGTATACAAGATGTCGGTAGACGGGAGGAGATTCCTGCACACTTGTACACACCCTGTCCCGATTGGTCGACTGTGTGCGCCGTTCCTGATTGGTCGACCCAGTCCAGGATGGCCGAGTGTCAGATAGGACCGTCTTGTTTAGCTGGCCAAAAGCAAATACTATATGACGTCATCACAGATAGTTTTTGCTTTCGTCTTGCTAAAGAAAACTGACAACCTGGAATTCGTTTTCGTGGCTTTATCAATGGGAACTTAATTGGTTTTATCAATGGGAACTTAATTAAAACTTTTTTTTAACATGCGTGGGTTTGTAACTGGTAGTACAAGCAAGTGCTTGCATTTTAATTGTTACAAACTGAAAATTTGAGAAGTTACATGTGCTACACGTTCCGTCTTTTAAGGACAAACGTAACTGAATAGAAAAATCCCGAGAAAAAAATTGTTCCTATGTGTTTTCTGCATAATTTCATCTTGCCGTGAGTGTTCACGCTAACTGACCACTAAACTAATGGCCCAAATGGTGTCACATTGGCCACCAAACACCAAACCAAAAGGTGTCACATTGGCAACTAAACACAAGACCCAAAAAATGACCACTAATAAGCACAGTTCAAAGCTACTTTGATTTCTGATCTAAATCTAATTCTAGACCATTAGGAGATTATTATTTTTGTTTTTAACTGATCTGTCCACCTTAATACAAGTTTTGTTTACATGGGTGACACATCTGACCTTTGACCTAAACACAAAGCTCGTGATCATCAGCGTGATACAGCAGTTTCAACGTCAACAAACATTGACCCCAGGTCAGTCACGGGAAGGTCAAAGGTGACTGGAAGTAACCCGGTGATTGAATGGAACACATTCTCTAAACTTGAGTGGTAGCCTACTGGATTGTACACACGTTAACATTTTGGTACTGTTTTGTACACAATTTGCAGGTGGTGTTATGGTGTGGTGTTATGGTGTGATGCTGGCTGGTGTTATGGGGTGGTGTTGAGGTGGTGTTATGGGGTAGTGTTGGGGTGTGATGCTGGCTGGTGTTATGGTGTGGTGTTGGGGTGGTGTTGGGGGTGGTGTTACGTCCAACAATCAGAGGGACGGGGAGGAAAGATTCGTTAAATTAATTTAATTTATAGAACTCATGACGCCCACCTAATATGTCAAAATGATTAAGCCACAATGAATAATAATTACAATTAAAACTTTCAATTCTATAATGACGACAAATTCTAAAAGGTTTTCAACAAGTTTTTTTTTACTAAGTAATCAATTGATCTCTGGTTCTAGAAAGTTCCATGTTGTATTTGTACTTTAGTGGGCTGCATGACGTCATGCCATAAACACAGCCTCTCAACACTCGCGTCGTTTTCACAAGTGACAGCAAAATCAGCTGGTCACATGATCCGTAGTTTAAAATTTCATCCTTTGGCTGTTTTTTTTCATCTACCCGTTCACAGAGACAGGGTGTTAGGTGTCGTGGTAGGCGTCTACCGTAGGCGTGGCACTTAGCCGGTCCATAGCCGAGATACAGCCGGTTCATTGTCGGTACTCAGCCGGTCCATAGCCGGGATACAACCGGTTCATTGCCGGTATAATGCCGGCATACAGCTGACATGCAACCGGTATTGTTGTAAACTAGATTTAAACTAGTTGAGCATTGAGACAAGATATTAATTACAGGTGAACTAATGAGCGGCCAGCAATTAACGTTTGATTTGTCCATCAACCGTTGTGTGTTTGTTTACCTGGTGATGTCGCGGATCGTAAACAGGTTTAACAAGGGGGTTGGGGGGGGGGTGTAAGGATGGATGTCAATTTAATCAGCATGTGATTCATTTGATAGTGTGTGAGTGGGGGGGGGGGGGAGAGCATTAAGGGATGCGTCATAGACTTAATTTGTGCATAATTTAGTTATCTGAACTATGTGAAACAATTGGTTTACAAACTCTTAGAGTTAATTCAACAATCTATGATGGGTACGTGTTTATGCTGAGCTGATTCATTGAGTTTGTATTTTGACCAGCTTTTATAAGGTTTAAAAAAAGCTATGCTTAATTATGACATGGTAACCACCCCTTTAAAAAAAACCAATATGAAACCGTAACAACATCACGTCATAAAAAAAAACTTAGGAAAACACAAGACGTCACGTGAACCCTTTATGTGACACCAGAAACCCCACCCACCGTGACCTACATCAACAGATCGAACGAAATCGACCACCAAGAAAGGGGATAAGACAACAACATGACAGGCTCATTCAGTGGTTCTATACCTTAGACAGGAGTTAGCTCCCCTCTATAGTGTCGTGTTATGACGGGGAGCTAACTCCAATCTATGCCGTCGTGTTATTACAGGGAGCTAACTCCCCTTGATGATAAAGTGTTAGCCAGCAGAAATATCAGCTGACCAGCTAGCTCACAGCTTTTGATTTTCAACCTAGCTGGTGGTGGGGATGAGGGGGTGTTGATACATATACAAGGTATTTCACATAGGTAGCTAATGGAAATTTTCGTGACACTATTTACTCAATTTTTTATGGTGTATCAGGGTATACGAGTACGTGTGTATGTGCGTACATGTATATTCGTTTCTATGAGTGTTTATTTTAGTAGCTTCAGTATGTTAATGTATATATGTACGTTTATATGTATGTATCTGAGAGTAACTGTGAATATGACTTGTATTTAAGTGCGTGTATGTGTTTCTATGTGAGTTGTGTGTGTTTGTGTGTGTGTGTGTCTGAGTAAATGTGGGCTTGAGAGAGATGATAGGAAAAGGAAAACATTCCATAGCATCGTCACGTGATTAGATGTGCTTGTTGCCTACTTGTCAACAAAGTTATCTCCCCTGTGCGCGCCCGAATCACGTGACCCTCGCGTGACCTAGTTTCCAATGACCGGCCGGGGCAGAGTATAAAAACAAGGGAAAGACAACTGCGCTTCAATCTATTGTCTCGCTGCGTCAGGGTACGTACAGGCAATCATCCAACACCAGCATCCAGCATCCAACATTTTTGTCTAACGTCCGACAACCGTATCCAGCATCCAACATCCGTGTCTAACGTCCGACAACAGCATCCAACTAGCAACATGTCTGTCAGCCAGTGCCGCCAGAACTTCCACCAAGACAACGAGGCTGGCATCAACCGCCAGATCAACATGGAACTCTACGCCAGCTACTGCTACATGTCCATGGTAAGTCACCCTTTAATTAGAGCACTCGTTAATTAGAGCACCCGTTAATTAGAGCACCCGTTAGTTAGAGCACCCGTTAGTTAGAGCACCCGTTAGTTAGAGCACCCGTTGGTTAGAGCACTCGTTAGTTAGAGCACTCGTTAGTTAGAGCACTCGTTAGTCAGAGCACTCGTTAGTTAGAGCACGCGTTAGTTATAGTAGGCTACTACTTGTTAGTTTGAACACTACGCATTTATTAAAAAAACCAGCCCCACACATACTAAAGGCTAAATCGAAACCTGTTATACAAGCAACGCTATACCCCCTCATCTCACTTGTCCTTTAATGTCGTTAAATAAGATGAGATGTAGATCTAGACACGCTACAAACTTGGGGGGGGGGGGGGGGCTGAAGCTGTAAACAAAGAGAACACTACTCATATAACTCCGCAACTAAATCTGATCAAAACGAAAACAAGCTTTAGGGTTTTCCCGTTGATCGCTCACGTGACTTTGTTTACATTTCGATCATACCGGTGTGCTATTTATAAACTATAAACGTCCGGACGGACATGCGCAAAGGTCTGTTGAGCAGCGAGTGATGACCTACATGCGTCGTTAGGTCATGGTCGCATTCACTGCGTGTTTACAATCTGTCAAAGATTTTTTCTGGCCCATTATCTTTGTTGCAGATCAACATTGTTATTGATTATAAATTTATTAGCGTATTAAGCATTATATATATATATATATATATATATATATATATATATATATATATATATATATATATATATATATATATATATATATATACGAGCCGGCCCGCGGCATAACATACGCCGCTATATAGTTGTTGTTTTTTCTACTTTTCAGTAATTCATAATTTGTGAATTCGACAGTACCAACGCTACCACTGAAAATATTTCTTTAAAACACTATAAGTAGCTCGTTAAGGACGATAACCCCCCCCCCTTCCCCCCCTCAGTTAAAGTAAACTCCATTTAGTTCCCCCCCCCCTCCCACCTACGTTTAAAATCGTTTCATACTAAATTATATGCCCCTAATAGTCGTCACTAAACCCGGCTCTGCTTGTAAACATTAAGCGTGAACCACAGCTCACCAGACCATGTAGGGGTTTGGGGTGGTAGGGAGCGCGTTTACAGCTTGTTTTCTAGCTTCTCCCAGAAGAGAATTATATATATATATATATATATATATATATATATATATATATATATATATATATATATATATATATATATATATATCAACAGGGTTCGTACATTAACAGGGTTTGTACTTTGATCGTGTCTAACAGGGTTCGTACTTTGATCGTGTCTAACAGGGTTCGTACTTTGATCGTGACGACGTGGCGCTGCCAGGGTTCGCCAAGTACTTCAAGAAACTCTCGGGAGAGGAGAGAGAGCATGCGCAGAAGTTCATGTCCTACCAGGTGAAGCGGGGAGGACGAATTGTCCTGCAGGACATCAAGGTAACCAGTTCATGAAATTAGTTCCCTTGTGTAACAAACGACAGATAACCGTTCATGGTTCAGCCATCTAATGGGATGTAACTCATTCAAAGGGCAGGTCACTCGCTCATGAAAAGCTAAGTAAACATAGCAGTCCAAATCAAAGGGCTAACAACCTAATAGTATAAGCCAGACCATGACGAATTAATGACCCACTAAAATTATGGGGTAGGTACCAAATAAAATGATGGGGTAGGTACCAACTAAAATTAAGGAGTAGGTACCCACTAAAATAATGAGGTAGGTACCCACCAAAATTATGGCGTAGGTACCCACTAAAATCTGGTATGGCGTAGGTTCCAAATTTTTTTGGGGTAGGTACCCACTAAAAGTATGGCGTAGTTACCCACTAAAATGATGGGGTAGTTACCCACTAAAATGATGGGGTAGGTACCAACAAAAATGATGGGGTAGGTACCCACTAAAATTATGGGGTGGGTACCCACTAAAATTATGGGGTAGGTACCCACTAAAATGATGGGGTAGGCACCCACTAAAATGATGGGGTAGGCACCCACTAAAATGATGGGGTAGGCACCAACTAAAATGATGGGGTAGGTACCCACTAAAATTTTTGGGGTAGGTACCCACTAAAATGGTGGGGTAGGTACCCATTAAAATTGACTTTGCTTCCAGAAACCGGAGCGTGACGAGTGGGGAAGTGGTCTAGAAGCCATGCATGTCGCCCTACAGCTGGAGAAGAGCGTGAACCAATCCCTGCTGGACCTGCACAAGATTTGTCTCGGACATGGGGACGCCCAGGTGGGTTTGTTGACACGGGGACGCCCAGGTGGGTTTGTTGACACGGGGACGCCCAGGTGGGTTTGTTGACACGGGGACGCCCAGGTGGGTTTGTTGACACGGGGACGCCCAGGTGGGTTTGTTGACACGGGGACGCCCAGGTGGGCTTGTTGACACGGGGACGCCCAGGTGGGTTTGTTGACACGGGGACGCCCAGGTGGGTTTGTTGACACGGGGACGCCCAGGTGGGTTTGTTGACACGGGGACGCCCAGGTGGGTTTGTTGACACGGGGACGCCCAGGTGGGTTTGTTGACACGGGGACGCCCAGGTGGGTTTGTTGACACGGGGACGCTCAGGTGGGTTTGTTGACACGGGGACGCCCAGGTGGGTTTGTTGACACGGGGACGCCCAGGTGGGTTTGTTGACACGGGGACGCCCAGGTGGGTGTGTTCAGCACGGTCGTGTCCATATATCAAAAGTCCAAAGTTTAGGTTAAAATATTTTTCCCAGCCTGAAGTTTATCTGTTTTAAATTGGTCCCTGCTTCACCTGTCTGGGTTTGGTTCTCCAGTTTTCAACTGTCCAAATGCTCCCGTTCGAAAATGTCCCCCTGTCCAAATGCCCCTGTCGGAAATGCCCCCCCCCCTGTCCAAATGCCCCTGTCCAAATGCCCCCTGTCGGAAATGCCCCCCTGTCCAAATGGCCCCTGTCCAAATAACCCTTTGTCCAAATGCCCCTTGTTCAAATGCCATCCTGTTCAAATGCCCCATATCCAAATGCCTTATGTCCAAATGCCCTGTTAAAATGCCCCCTGTCCAAATGCCCCCGTCCAAATGCCCCCGTCCAAATGCCCCCTGTCCCTATTCCACCTGTCTAAATCCCACCTGTGTGAATCTCACGTGTCTAATCTCACTTAAATTTGACGTATCGATCTAAACATGAAAACACAACATCACCGATTATCTTGTCTCCAAGATCTGCTCAATTAGTTTACCGTGGCAGTGCGGGACTATAACAGCCCATTGATTTTTCTCGAGTAGTTAAACGGCAGCAGTGAACGCGCCAATTTACCTGACGACCCCAGACTTAAGGTCTGATGTTTGTCGTCAAGACGGTGACTGGGGCAGACGATCCATTGGGCTCAGATCAAGAGGACACATTTTAATTAAGTTTAATTAAGTTCAAGGATGTACTCGGGGGTCCCAGGTTATTGGAAATATTGTCGTCGTTTTTCTCGGTTAATGCGACAATTAGCTACTACAGGTATCGTAACTTTGATAGTTGACATTAACAGTTGGCTAACACGGGTATCGATACTTTGAAAAGCTAACGCCCAGATGTTTATAATTACGGTTTGTAAAGTCTAAGGTTATGATTAAAGGATATCTAAATTAACTAACGTTGTGCTAGTATTAGAATTTTGTGACACATATAACTGATGTATGACAGATGCCACATCTGACATATGTTTGCTGTATGACATCTGACATATGTTTGTTGTATGACATCTGACATATGTTTGCTGTATGACATCTGACATATGTTTGCTGTATGACATCTGACATATGTTTGTTGTATGAAATCTGACATATGTTTGCTGTATGACAGATGGCCGACTTCCTGGAGTCCGAATACCTGGGCGAGCAGGTCGAGTCCATCAAGGAGCTGAGTGACCACATCACCAACCTGAAGCGCGTGGGGTCGGGTCTTGGCGAGTACATGTTCGACAAGGAATCGCTCAGCTAAGGCCGTCGTCAGCCTTGACCTATTGACCCTTGACCTGTGCCTGTAGCTAGACATTGTTCCATGTTCTCTCTAGTGAAATAACGGACAAAACAAAATCGTTTCACCTGCCACACTAGTCACGTGACCTGAAATTACCTGCAAGACCAGTGGCCTAGAACTTACACCCATTCAACGTAGTTTTAATATTCCACGGATTTTAAAGCCGCATTTTTCAATATTCCAAAATATAGTTGTATAAAAACGCTGTATATATTTATATTTTTTACAACGTTGTTGTTTCTATTTATATGTTGTTATTGTAACAAGGGTCAAAGTGTTAATAAAATTATTAAAACTTTTGTTTGTTTTGCAACTTTCTTTTTCCACAACTTGTTGTTAGTTTAGTGGCCAAGGCGTAGCTCTAAAAAAAACAATCGAGTTAGTCTTATGTATGTAAAGCAGTCACTATGTTTTAGAGCTATCAACTGAAATCGTAAGGCCTTAAGGAGTTAGCAAGGTTCAAGTTAGGACTCGGTGATGAGCAAGACAGACAGAACTACACAACTGTTGTAAAAGTGTGTAGGTTCCAGAACTAACTAACTAGTTCAAGTTTCTGTGCGGTTTAATTAGGTTCTTCTCAGAACATTCTCGACTGTTAGCGTTGATTGGGTTTAATCTCCCAAACGTCGTCTCTAATTGTCTGGCACTTGGTGAGCTGACCCACCCCTCCCCTCTCCCCGACCCTCCCCGGGGACGTGACGTTTGTCGGGTCTATCAACGGTCGTCTCATCAAAGTCAGATGCCGGTAAATCCGGTATACAGGGGCGATGTTGAGATGTCGGTTGTAGGAAGGTGGGGGGGGGGGGGGGGGTCGGGGAAAGACGGGGGTCGGGGGTGGGGAGGACAGAGGGTTGGGTGGACGAAAGAGAGGTCGAGGAATGTGTCCACATAAACGCGAATCTAGATAGTCAACTGAAGTAAGCCACACGGCTATAACAACCACACTGCCACACGGCTACAACAACCACACTGCCACACACGGCTACAACAACCACACTGCCACACACGGCTACAACAACCACACTGCCACACGGCTACAACAACCACACTGCCACACGGCTACAACAACCACACTGCCACACGGCTACAAAAACCACACTGCCACACGGCTACAACAACCACACTGCCACACAGCTACAACAACCACACTGCCACAAGGCTACAACAACCACACGGCTACAACAACCACACTGCCACACGGCTACAACAACCACACGGCTACAACAACCACACTGTCACACGGCTACAACAACCACACTGCCACACGGCAACAACAACCACACTGCCACACGGCTACAACAACCACACTGCCACAGGGCACACAGCGAACACGGCAGAAAAAAAAATAACCTCAATAACCTCACAGCTCATCTTCTCCCAGCTGTCACCCACACAAGACGTCCCACGTGACTTGGTAATCTTCCACTTATTGTATGAGACGTAGGTTTACCCCGTCCACACACCCCACACCACTAGCCATCCACACACGCCACACAATTTCCTAACACCCGGACAAAAGCCCTAAAATAGTCCGGCTCACACCCCACACACCCCACACCACTAGCCACCCACACACGCCACACAATTTCCTAACACCCTGACAAAAGCCCTAAAATAGTCCGGCTCACACCCCACACACCCCACACCACTAGCCACCCACACACGCCACACAATTTCCTAACACCCTGACAAAAGCCCTAAAATAGTCCGGCTCACACCTGATTGGGTCTATCCCCCAACAATGGCAGAGTTGACTACCTGGTCCAGTAATGGCGCCTCAATGACCGGCTCGGCTAAATACCAGAGGTTTGTGTCATCAGTCACTGCCAACTGCTGGGGCATTCAGGAATAACTGGACAAGGTATCAACACACGTATCAAATATAACGTATCAACACACACACACACCAGGACATCAACACACATCTCAGATACAACGTATCAACACACACACACCAGGACATCAACACATATCTCAAATACAACGTATCAACATACATATACCAGGACATCAACAACACATATCTCAAATACAACGTTTCAACATATATAAGCACATCGACACATAGCTCGTATACAAATTATCAACACACACACATACCAATACTTGAAGGTACGTCACAAATACAAGGTATCAACACACACATACCAGGACATCAACACACATCACAAATACAAATTATCAACACACACACACACACAAACACACACACACCTACACACACATACCATCACTTAAAGCAGGGGTCTCCAAACTACGGCCCGCGGGCCGAATGCGGTCCGCGAAGTCCTCTAATCCGGCCCGCAGAGATCTTTTTGTCTAAGGAAAAATCGTTTGTTGGTGATGACTGAAGAACTTTGCGCAGAAAAAGTCAAAGACATGCCTGGAAGAAACTGGCCCCCGAAGTGAAATTTGATAGTTAATGCGGCCCTCGGACTGAAAAGTTTGGAAACCCCTGACTTAAAGGGACATCTCAAATCGGGTGATTGAGTTTACTTAGATCTCATCACACGTAATGCCAGAAACGAATTAAAGCTGAGTCAGTGTTTACATGAGCTGTCAGGGACCAGTGCAATAAGTCTAGTTTGTATGTGCTCAGGACAATTTAACAAGGGGTTGTCAAGTAGGGAATATGGGGTTGTCAAGTAGGGAATATGGGGTTGTCAAGTAGGGAACAAGGGGTTGTTAAGTAGGGAATATGGGGTTGTCAAGCAGGGAATATGGGGTTGTCAAGTAGGGAATATGGGGTTGTCAAGTAGGGAATATGGGGTTGTCAAGTAGGGAACAAGGGGTTGTCAAGTAGGGAACAAGGGGTTGTCAAGTAGGGAATATGGGGTTGTCAAGTAGGGAATATGGGGTTGTCAAGTAGGGAATATGGGGTTGTCAAGTAGGGAACAAGGGGTTGTCAAGTAGGGAACAAGGGGTTGTCAAGTAGGGAATATGGGTTTGTCAAGTAAGGAATGTGGGTTGTCAAGTAGGGAACATGGGGTTGTCAAGTAGGGAACAATGGGTTGTCAAGTAAGGAACAATGGGTTGTCAAGTAGGGAACAAAGGGTTGTCAAGTAAGGAACAATGGGTTATCAAGTAAGGAACGGTGGTTGTGAAGTAATGAACATGTGGGTTGTCAAGTATGGAACATTAGTACCCACGTCAACAACACCCGCGTCAACAACCCCAGCCCTTACAACACCAGAAAATATAACCCCTGCGATACAACCCCAGTCGATACAACCCAGACTGTAAAACCTTAGCTACAACTCTGAAACAATTTATTTTCTCCTTAGGATGAAAACAAGACCAAATCTAAAGGACCTTGGTCTAAACTTAGTGTATGTGTCCTCACGTAATAAACTTTTAATCCTCTGTGTCTGTTTAGAGCAGTATAAAACAGTTGACAGACACCGCTGTTCTTTTACCTACAGTATTTTCCTGCTGTCAGCAAACTTGCTCTACGTTAGGCCAACTAGCTGTAGGCCAGCTTGCTCGATTGTAGCTCAACATATTCTATTGCAGGTTTGCACGCTCCCCTCCCAGCGATCCACCCCCCCCCCCCCCCCCATGACAAAAAATCCACAGCCACACAGAGAAAGCCATTAGGAACAAATACAAGCAACAATTGGCCAACACAAGTGGATTTGGACGGGTCTTGGTATCTGCCAAATTAAGCAGAGTCGCTGAATGTCTAAAAATAGTAGCCTCTAACGACCAATCCGGTCAAACCCAGGCAGCCGTGGAAATCAATTTGGCCAATCAGATTCGTCGGGACAAAAAACCCACGATTGGAGGGGAGTTAAATTTCGCCGAGAAAACGAATTTTGTTTTTTGCTTCACGTTGAAAGTTGTCCGTTTTTTAAAGGAGCGGATCTATGGCTATAAGTGCTGGATGTAAGAGGGCAATACAGTTTCAGGTGGGTAATCTGCGAAATCGTCTTGCTCGGTCAACCTTGTGTCCTGTCACACATGTCAGTTACTTCCCTTGTCACACATGTTAGTTACTTCCCTTGTCACATACGTTAGTTACTTCCCTTGTCACACATCTTAGTTACTTCCCTTGTCACATACGTTAGTTACTTCCCTTGTGTCAGTTACTTCCCTTGTCACACATGTTAGTTACTTCCCCTGTCACACATGTTAGTTACTTCCCTTGTCACACATGTTAGTTACTTCCCTTATGTTAGTTACTTCCCTTGTCACACATACAAGTTACCGCCCCTGCCTCGTACATCAGTTACCCCCCCCCCCCCCCGGTGTAGTAGCGGTCACCCCCCCCCTGTTGACACCGACCAGCCGGCCACCCAATCACGTGAGTTCACGTTCCAATCAGTGACCAGCGTTCCACTCGGCTGCTCACAAATGAGAACTATCTCTGTGGTCAATTTTTTTTTACCGGAAGTTACTTGTCACGTGACGTCATGAATTTACGCAATCAGTTTTTGTCATTGACCACTTTGTCATTGAACTTAAGCGAGAGTTGTAAATTTGTTAGGTACAACAGAGTTGTGGATGGGTTAGGGCTAGGGCTAGGGTTAGGGTTAGGGTTAGGGTTAGGGTTAGGGTTAAGATTAGGGTTAGGGTTAGAGCTAGTGTTAGGGTTAGGGTTGTGTCTAGCTTTGGTTTTGGTTTTGTGTGAAGTTTTAGGCTAAGGTGGATGCTTAGGTTTTGGTCTTTTTCTTAAGGTTTGGATTAAAGTAGTATATAGGTATACAATTCTAGTTAGAGTTAGGATTTTAACTTGAGAGGGGGGGTAATTCCCCGGGGGGGGGGGGGGGGGTAATTGACAGGGGGTAATTGACAGGGGGTAATTGCTCCGGGGGGGGGGGGGGGGTAAATACGGGGGGGGGGAATGTCCGGGGGGGGGGGGGGAAATATCCAGGGGGGTAATGTCCTGTAGCCACTCGATATAGTACAGCTTTACTGTTTTTATGTTTGACATTACATTATATATATATATATATATATATATATATATATATATATATATATATATATATATATATATATATATATATATATATATATATATATATATATATATATATATATATATATATATATATATATATATATATATATATATATATATATATATATATATATTATATATATATATATATATATATATATATATATATATATATATATATATATATATATATATATATATATATATATGGTGCCCTGTCAAAACGGCCCGGGACAAATCGGCCCCGTCAAAACGGCCCCGTTAATACGACCCCGTCAAATCGACTCCCGACAAACCGATCCCGTCAAAATAGCCCCGTCAAAAGGGCCCCGACTT